TTGGGATTCCTTCCCTTTTCTTGCCAATTTCCTTCCCTTTTTTGGCATTTCCTTCCTTTTCTTCCTTCCCCCCTCACTCTCTTTTCCTCCTTCCTTTCCAGGAGGGGCTTTTCCAAGGGCTGGGGGAGCCCCCAGGGAGGCAGGGAGGGGCAGAGGGGCTGGGGGCAGCTCCCGGGGGCCTCACCTTGATCCAGAACTCCTCGTAGAGCGCGCAGGCGATGACGCAGCGCTCGAACAGGACGATGGTGCGTTCGTGCGACCCCGCCGACATCTCGTAGTCCAGGTACTCCCGCCAGTTCCGCAGCTGCGCCCGCTCCAGGGGCTTCACGTGGAAGTAGGGACGTTTGATCTGGGGGGGGAAGCCAATCAGCCATTCAATCAATCAGTCAGTCATTCAATCAATCAATCAACCATTCAATCAATCAACCATTCAATCAATCAACCATTCAATCAATCAACCATTCAATCAATCAACCATTCAATCAATCAACCATTCAATCAATCAACCATTCAATCAATCAACCATTCAATCAATCAACCATTCAATCAATCAACCATTCAATCAATCAACCATTCAATCAATCAACCATTCAATCAATCAACCATTCAATCAATCAACCATTCAATCAATCAACCATTCAATCAATCAACCATTCAATCAATCAACCATTCAATCAATCAACCATTCAATCAATCAACCATTCAATCAATCAACCATTCAATCATTCAACCAATCAATCATTCAACCAACCATTCAACCAATCAACCATTCAACCAATCAACCATTCAACCAATCAACCATTCAATCAATCAACCATTCAATCAATCAACCATTCAATCAATCAACCATTCAATCATTCAACCAATCAATCATTCAACCAACCATTCAACCAATCAACCATTCAACCAATCAACCATTCAACCAATCAACCATTCAACCAATCAACCATTCAATCAATCAACCATTCAATCAATCAACCATTCAATCATTCAACCAATCAATCATTCAACCAACCATTCAACCAATCAACCATTCAACCAATCAACCATTCAACCAATCAACCACCATTCATTCAATCAACCATTCATTCAACCATTCAATCAACCATTCATTCAACCATTCAACCAGTCATTCATTCAACCATTCAACCAGTCATTCAATCAATCATTTCAACCAATCTTCAATCAACCAATCAATCATTCAACCAATATTCAATCAACCAATCTTCAATCAATCAACAGGGCAACAGCATTTCCAGGGAGATAACGGGGGGCTGAGGGATGAAGGGAGTGGAACGTCTCGTGTGAGGAGAGACCTGGGGCTGGTTAAGTCTGCGGGGCAACCGCATTTCCAGGGAGATAACGGGGGGTTGAGGGATGAAGGGAGTGGAACATGTCATGTGAGGAGAGACCTGGGGCTGGTTAAGTCTGGACAAGGTAAGATGATCTGGTTAACGTCTAGTTAATGTCTAATCTCTGCAGGGTAGGGGTGAAGAACAGGTTGGTCTGCCCAGTGGTAGGAGGAGGGGAAATGGCACCAAGTGACAACACTGGAAGTTCCATGTGAGGAGAAACTTCTTCCCTCCCTGGGACAGGGAGAAAGTGGAGTCTCCTTTGGAGACTTCCAAGACCAATTCCTATGGGATCTGCCCTGGCTGCTCCTGCTGCAGCAGGGCGGGGGGTTGGACTCGATGATGTCCAGAGGTCCCTTCCAACCCTTTCTAGGATCCCACCCTCCCTACCCCATCCTCGAAGTTCCAGCGCTTCCCGACTTCCGCCTCGTTCTGCGCGTAGATCTGTTGCCGCATGGAAATCACCAGCTCCCGGATCTTCTCCTGGTCTAAATCCTCCTGGGAATTCAACAGGGAATCAATGGGAAACACGGGGTGGGCTAGAAACCCCCTCTCCCCAATCCAGGACACCCCTCATCCTGGGTACCCACGTGAGTCTCGGCTGCTTTTTTCCCATCACCGCTGGCGGCAGCGTCTTCTCCCGGCGGCGCTTCCGTCCCCTCCGGCTCCGGGGGTTTCGGAACGGGATCGGTGGCCAGTTTGGATTGGACCCAGAGAAGCTCCTCTGGGGACAAAATGTCTTTTGGGGGGTTGTGGAGGACGTGCTCCTTGAACCTGGGGAGGGGACACAAAGGTTAAAGAGAGGGACACACAACTCCTGGCATTCCTAGGGACAGGTAATGGTGAGGGTGAGGTCTGGGGGTGTTTTCCCAGCACGGAGCGGGATTTTCTGTGGGGATATTTTGCCCTCAGGACTTTTTACTACCTTGGTTATTCCCCACAGGGACATTTTCCCACCGTGGACTTTCCTACAGGGTCGTTTTCCCTCTGTGGACCTTTCCATGGGGCTGTTTTCCCACCCTGGACTTTCCCACAAGGACATTTTACCCCCTTGAGACTTTTCCATGGGGCCGTTTTCCCACCCTAGACTTTCCCACGGGGCCATTTTCCCACTGGGATGCTCCCTACTTCTCCCAGTGGTGGTTGTAGAGCTGGGTGGGCATGGAGAGGACCCGGTCGTAGATGCCGGTGACGGCGCGCAGGTCTCCCTGCTCCCGCTCCCATTCCACGTAGAGTTCCCACAGCTTGTCCGACCGGAAATCCATCCCGGCCGCCGCCACCGCCGCCTCGAAGACGCTGCGGGGAGAGGGGGGAAGTGGGATGGGAAGCACCAACCCTGGAGCTGGTTCCCATCTCATCCAGAGCCAGTTCCCATCTCATCCAGAGCCAGTTCCCTCTCATCCAGAGCCAGTTCCCATCTCATCCAGCCCCAGTTCCCTCCTCATCCAGAGCCAGTTCCCTCCTCCATCTGGAGCCAGTTCCCCCTCATCCAGAGCCAGTTCCCTCTCATACAGAGCCAGTTCCGGTTCCCCCTCAACTGGAGCCAGTTCCCATCTCATCTGGAACTGGTTCCCTCTAATCCAGAGCTGGTTCCCTCTCATCTGGAGCTGGTTCCCTCCAAAACAGAGCCAGTTCCCCCTTATCCAGAGCCAGTTCCCTCCCAACTGGAGCTGGTTTCCTCCCAACTGGAGCTGGTTCCCTCCCATCCACAGCCGGTTCCCTCCCAACTGGAGCTGGTTCCCTCTCATCTGGAGCCAGTTTCCCCTCATCCAGAGCCAATTCCCTCTCATCCAGAGCCAGTTCCGGTTCCCCCTCAACTGGAGCCAGTTCCCATCTCATCTGGAACTGGTTCCCCCTAGTCCAGAGCTGGTTCCCTCTAATCCAGAGCTGGTTCCCTCCAAAACAGAGCCAGTTTCTCCTAATCCAGAGCCAATTCTCCCTCATCCAAAGCCAGTTCCCTCTCAGCTGGTACTGGTTCCCCTCTCAACTGGAACTGGTTCCCCCCTCAACCACCACTTACCCCCGGATTTTCTGGATGGATTCAGGGAGATTCATGTCCAGGGTGGACTGGAGGTAGGAGATGTAATGGATCCAGAGGTCCATGCTGAGGGGGATGGACTGAAGGCCCCGCTCAAACACCTGCTGGGAACATCCAGGGTTACCAAATGACCCCAAAATGTCCTGTTCCAGCTGAGAAATGGGGGGAAATGACCCCCAAAATGGGGAAAATGACCCAAAATAAAGGGGAGACCAGTCAAAAGTGGGAGGGAGCCACCAAAAGTGGGAGGAAAACCCACCCAAATGTGGGAGACACCACCCCAAAAATGGGGGAGACCACCCAAAAAAACCTGGGGAACCCCAAGAACTTCCAGTCTGCCCAATTAAGAGGGGGAAAAAAAGGGGGGAACACCCCAAAACCAGGCAAGAGACCACCCAAAGCTCCCCCAAATGCCTCAAAAAGAGGGTAATATTGGTGGACACATCCCAAAACAACCACAGGGACCCCCAAAAACCCCATTATATGCTCTAGAAAGAGGGGAAAACTGGGAAGGACACCCCAAAACCACCACAGGGACCCCCCCAGACACCCCAAAAACAGAGTAGAAAAGGGAGGGAACACCCCAAAACCACCACAGAGACCCCCAAAGCTCCCCCAAATGCCCCAAAAAGAGGGTAGAAAAGGGGGACACACCCCAAAACCACCACAGGGGCCTCCAAAGCCCCCCCAAAAGAGGGCAGGAAAGAGGGGAACACCCCAAAACCACCACAGGGACATTCAAAGCCCCCCCAAACACCCCAAAAAGAGGGTAGGAAAGAGGGGAACACCCCAAAACCATCACAGGGATCCCCAAAGCTCCCCCAAAAAGAGGGTAGGAAAGAGGGGAACTCCCCAAAACAACCCCAGGGACACCCAAAGCCCCCCCAAACGCCCCAAAAAGAGAGTAGAAAAGGGGGACACACCCCGAGACCACTACAGGGTCCCCCAAAAACCCCATCAAATGTCCCAGAAAGAGGGGAAAACTGGGAAGGACACCCCAAAACCACCACAGGGACCCCCCAGACGCCCCAAAAACAGAGTAGAAAAGGGAGGGAACACCCCAAAACCACCCCAGGGACACCCAAAGCCCCCCCAAACACCCCAAAAAGAGGGTAGAAAAGGGGGACACACCCCAAAACCACCACAGGGACCCCCAAAACTCCCTCAAATGCCCCAAAAAGAGGGTAGAAAAGGGGGGGACACCCCAAAACCACCACAGGGACCCCCCAAAACCCCATTATATGTCCCAGAAAGAGGGGAAAACTGGGAAGAACACCCCAAAACCACCAAAGGGACCCCCAAATGCCCCCAAAAAAGGGTAGGAAAGGGAGAGAACACCCCAAAACCACCCCAGGGACACCCAAAGCCCCCCCAAACACCCCAAAAAGAGGGTAGAAAAGGGAGGGGACACCCCAAAACCACAGCAGGGACACCCAAAGCCCCCCCAAACGCCCCAAAAAGAGGGTAGAAAAGAGGGACACACCCCGAGACCACCACAGGGACCCCCAAAAACCCCATTATATGTCCCAGAACGAGGGGAAAACTGGGAAGGACACCCAAAACCACCACAGGGACCCCCCAAAAGAGGGCAGGAAAGAGGGGAACACCCCAAAAAGCAGCCCAGGGACCCCCCTGACCTCCTCGGCCTCCCGGGTGCAGTCGAAGCGTCGCTCCATGTCGGCGTATTTCTTCCAGTACCCGTAGCAGTAGGGGTAGTGGGCAAAGAAGGCATCAAAGGCTCTGCGGGCAGCCAGGAGGTGGTTCTGGGGCAGGATTTGGGGTGAAAAGAGATGATTTTGGTCACAGGAACGTCTCACAGGGTTGCTGAGCAGGTGGTTATTAATTGGGATTAATAATTACAAGAGAGGAGTGGCTTCTGTTGGGGGGAAATGCAGCCTCGGGTAGGGGAGAACTCCCCAGGAGGTGGTTCTGGGGCAGGATTTGGGGTGAAAACAGGGGGTTTGGGCACAGGAACATCTCACAGGGTTGCTGAGCAGTTGGTTATTAATTGGGATTAATAATTACATTAGAAGAATTGCCTCTGTCACAACAAAATACAGCCCCACGTAGGGGAGGATTCCCCAGGAGGTGGTTCTGGGGCAGGATTTGGGGTGAAAACAGGTGGGTTTTGTCCCAGGAATGAAGGGTTTTAATCTTATAGAAACATCTAATTACTAATTAATAATTACATGAAAAGAATTGTCTCTGTCACAACAAAATGCAGCCCTGGGTAAGGGAGGAATTAGTTTTAATTAGGGTTTTAATGAAGCTGGGAGTTTGAGATGAAGATTGGAACATGATTAGGGCTTTGGGGGGGTGTTTAATGAAGATCTTAATAGGACCAGGAGCTTGGGGGGGGTTAATG